TGGAAAACCCGTGGTAATTGGCTGAAGATCGCTTTTTAATAACCTTGGCTTCCGCGGCATGAGCAGGACTAGATGGGACTTAAGTTTTTCATGTTACTAGGAACGTTGAAACTTGGATGTTGTCCTCAGAACATCCGTGGTAGAACCTTTGAGATATTTTTAAAATTTATTTAAACAGAGAGGGACACAGAGAGAGAGGAGTGAGAAAGCAAGCCGCCAAGTCCAGGACTCGAACCCTGGTCAGTCATGTGAGAGTCCAGAGCCCTTACTATATTATACCTTTTAGCAAATTTATGGTGTTTAGGGGACCAGTCATGTCTCTTCAGGACACAGAATCGGTTAAAAGTGGATCTGCGCTTGTTTCAGAGGGCCTTTTCTCACCGGTTGATGTACGCATTATATCTTTGGTAGCTAATTGGCACCGACAGGTACACATTAGGCACCAGCTTGGAGTGTTCAAAATGAAAAGACCTAAGAGTTTTTTTTTTTTTTTGGAGAGATTTTCACTGTAGGGCGCGTGCGCTCGCCAGACAGACGGAGAGAGACATAGAGACAGAAAGCGAGAAATCACCCCCCAGGGGGAATGGTCACGCCGGAATCCCTTCTCCTCCGTTCTCCTCTCGGGATCTTGGGCACGCACGCACACGCGCCCGAAAAGACCTAAGATTTTTGATAACGAAAATTCTAATACACACTTGTGCTATTTTTCTTTAGGTTTTCTATCAGATGTTCCACCATAATAATGCTGGTAAGTATGGAGGGATTAATAAAATATTTATAGGCAGAGATTAGGTTGTGCTCATATAGCAGTTGAGGCTTGTTGGAAGCAGGGCTTAAGTGTCAAGAACTGGGAAGGGTTTGAAATTTATCCCTATTTGCAGGTGTTAACAACTTAGCCTGCCCTGGTCTTAAAAGACTCAAAATTCCTGTCACCGTGAATTATTCACAGCAGCAGCTAAAACATCAGCAATTTTGTCTCTGTCCCATCAGTCCCCAGTTCCCATGAGATGAAGCAAAGTGAGTCAGAATTCACTTGGTTAAACTGTGTGGCTTAGAGAACCCACATCTTCAATATACTGGACAATTAATCATGCCTTTTCAAGGCTTTTAACTATTCAGCCATCCTTGAGACAGTAGTCTAGAGAGAAGGGCAGTGAGTGCCTTGCTTGTAAAACAGGTAGAACCACTAGATACCCATGGAGAATTGTTTCTCCACAAAAGTTCTCTGGAATTTTAATTAAATTGGTTACAAAAAGCACTAAATCTTAGCCAATTTGATATAGTGGTCAGATAACATTTGGCTTCAAACTCTAGATTCTCTACCAGTGGATCTTCACAAATGAGTTGATCTAGTTATTTACTATTCTGTGTATACCCCCCCCCCCACTCCTTTGTTGTGAATTCAAAAGGGTACTTACTCCGACCTGAAACAAGAATTTAAATTATTTTGGGGGAGAAAAGTCATTATAAAATTAGTGTAGAAATAGTATGAACTATAATTGAACCACCCATGACTACCACTGTATACAATACAATTTTTTTAGAAAAAAACTGGCATTATATTGTACACACTTTTGTGACTTGCTTGTTTAATTTGAACTGAATGTCTTTTACTTGCTGAATAAATATTCGATTCTCTGCCTGTTGCATACATAATTTATTTAACCAATCCCCATTTTCTGCATGTGTATGTGGCTTTTAGTTTTCATTATTATTGTGAAAAACAGATGTTGTTACACTATGGAAACATCGTAGACATAACACATAGTCACTGTATGTGCTTTTGGAGAGAATAGTTAACTTTTTAAGAAAGATTTTTTGCTAGAGGGCATGCACACTCACTGGAAAGACACAAGACAGAACCTTTTAATAAAGGTTCATGTTCAAGGTTAAAAAAAATTTTTAAAAAAGACCTGAAATTTTTAAAAAATTTAACAGTTTCACTGTTAAATCAGCAGTGAAACTATGTTAAACTTCAGCCTTGTGGAATTTTGAGTAATTTATAGCTAACTAAATCTAAGCCTGAGGCAGTTTTCAAACATTGAGCTATCAATAGATAAATGTATTTATATTTAATTGCCAGAGCATATGTGCACTCACCAGAGAGAGGGGGGTAGGAAGCACCCCCCCAGTGGGGTGTGGTTATACCGTTTATCCATCCTGTTCTGATTTAGGACTTGCACACACACACACACACACACACACGCTCTCTGTCACCTAGTGTGTTTTTCAAGCTGCCAGGGCAGGGATTCAAACCATGATTGACCATGTGGGACCTGGCTCTCTCAACTACTAGTCCCCTGAATAGGCCCCCAATGAGTTATATTTGAATGTTTTTTTAATTATAAATTTAGAATGCTCCAAAAGTGGTTTAATTTTCAAACTGTGCTTAGGTACAGTATTAATGTAATTGTCAGTTATACTTATTATTTTTTGTTACATTGGAAAGTAACAAAGGAAAGTAAATTCTGCACTTAAATCGCTGGGAGTCAGTCACAGACACCTGGGTTAGGCATTTAGAGACCTAGAGATTCAGAGTTTCAGAATATTATATACCATGTAAGATCACACAATAGGAGATACCTCTCCAGGTTAATTATTCTCCACATATTCTAAACAGACACAGAACCCTTACTTTCATGTGAGTCAAGAGATCTATTCTGTCTTCACCACTAGCTATGTATTGTTAGAAACTGGAGAATACATCTAGTTAAATGCTGTGTTTTCTTTTTTTTTTTTACTAGAAATTTTTGCTATAGAGTGTATGTGCTTGCCAGAGAGAGAGAGAGAGACAGAAAGCAAGAAATCACCTCTCTCCCCAGTGGGGATGGCCACGCTTCAATCCCTTCTCTTCCATTCTCCTCTTGGGATATTGGGCACTCACACATGCACCCAGCGTGAGTTTTATGCCGCTGGATCTGGGACTCTGACCGTGGTCGACTACGTAAGGGTCTAATGATGTAACCATTAGGCCATCTTTTGGTTCTGGTCCCATGTGTTTTTCTTTCTTTCTTTTTTTATTTTGGAGAGGTTTTTGCTATAGAGTGTGCGCTCACCAGAAAGACAGAGAGAGACAGAGATGGAAAGCGAGAAATCACCTCCCAGCGGAGATGGCCACGCCAAATCTCTTCTCCTCCATTCTCCTCTCAGGATCTTGGGCATGTATGCACATGTGCCTGGCGTGAGTTTAAGCCACTGGATCTGGGACTTGAAACCTGGTCGACTACATAGGAGTCCAGCGATGTAGCCGTTACGCCATCTGCTGGTCCCATGTGTTTTCTGTTTTTAACTGAGCTTTTTTTCTTGTTGGTGGGGTTCTTCATTACTGAATATTTTTATGTAATTAAACATCTTTTTGCTAGAATGACCTCCTTAATATTTAAGCTAATGATTAATTTTTAGATATTCTGTTTCTTATGTACTGGGTTATAGTATTAAAAAACATGAACTTCAGAATCAAACTGACCTGGGGCCCACAGGTGGAGTGATGTTTAAGGATGCTGGACTCCCACATGGCTGACCACGGTTTGAGTCCTGGACCTGGTGGCTTGCTTTCTTACTTTCCCTCTTTCTCTCTGTCTTGCCTCTCAGTCTGTCCCTCTCTAGTCAAGTTAAAAATAAATAAAGTTAAATAAAATAATTCTTTAATAAAAGGAATCAAACTGACTGGAGTCCAAAATTTCTGCTCTGCTACTTAACTAATACTTAACCAATTTAAGCCCCAGTTTGTGTATCTTTTACGAGAGGAGGATAGTTTCTACTTAGTATTGTCTTGTTTAAATGAGATGATGGTAAATTTATTAGTCCAGCATCTAGCATATAGTTACCTCTGATATATATATATATGTGTATATATATATTTTTTTGAGAGATTTTTGCTGTAGGGTGCATGCATTTGCCAGAAAGACAGACAGAGACAGAAAGCGAGATATCACTTCCAATGGGATGGCCACACCATAATCCCTTCTCCATTCTCCTCTTGGGATCTTGGGCAGGCATGCATGCACACACGCCTGGCGTGAGTTTAAGCCACTGGGTCCGGGACTCGAACCACAGTCAACTACATGGGAGTCCAGCGACATAGCCGTTATACCAACTGCTGGTCCCAGGAGCGTAATATTATTAGTGTCTTTTTTAGATACTTTATTTCTTATTCACTTAAAATACCCAAATATGAACCTTGCTTATTAGGGAAAAAGGGGTAGTCTTAAAATGCTTATTTCTTTATATTCCTTGTTTTAGTAGATTAACATCTAGTTATGTTTATTAAATAAGTAAAATAGCTAAATCTATAAACACAGTATGTTTAGGGAATAACATTTCTTTTTTTTTTTTTTCAGGTAACCAAAGTCTATTTCTGGAACCATGAAAATTTTGCTGGTTTTTGACTTTGACAATACAATCATAGATGAAAACAGTGACACCTGGATTGTACAATGTGCTCCAGACAAAAAGCTTCCTATTGAACTACAAGATTCTTACCGAAAAGGATTTTGGACAGAATTTATGGGCAGAGTCTTTAAGTATTTGGGAGAGGAAGGTGTAAGGGAAGATGAAATGAAAAGAACAGTGACAGCATTGCCTTTCACTCCAGGAATGGTGGAACTGTTTAACTTTATAAGAAAAAATAAGGATAAATTTGACTGCATTATTATTTCTGATTCAAATTCAGTCTTCATTGATTGGGTTTTAGAAGCTGCCCATTTTCACGACATGTTTGATAAAGTATTTACAAATCCAGCAGTTTTTGATAGCAGTGGTCATCTCACTGTGGAAAATTACCATGCTCATTCTTGCAGTAGGTGCCCAAAGAATCTTTGCAAAAATGTAGTTTTGGTAGAATTTGTAGAAAAACAGTTACAACAGGGAGTAAATTATACACGAATTGTTTACATAGGCGATGGAGGAAATGATGTCTGTCCAGTAACCTTTTTAAAAAAGAATGATGTTGCCATGCCCCGGAAAGGATATACTTTACAGAAAAATCTTTCCAGG